GTTCTTATACTTCCTAGCAAAGTATCCTTCCCGCGCAAGAAAATTCCAGCAAGAGGCTGCAGCTGGGGGAATGGACGGGTGGGAGGGCCAAATCGACGTCGACGATTCCGATCTCCAATCTGTTCTCCGTCCTCCACTCCATCAGTCCTCTTGTCCGCCCCACGCAATACTCAACCGTCTCCAGCCCTGCTCGCAAATTTCTTCCTCTTTTCAAACCCTAGACCGTACTCGCTCTATCCCTCCTTTTCAATCCCAACTTCCTACCAATATTTCTGAGATAAATCAAAACGAAGAAGAAGAGCATCCCCTCATTCCCGGTCCCGCTGGCGCTATTCAGGCGGCCATGCGCAGGCGATCCGCTGCAGCTTGTTCAGAAAGGTTGCTCCCAGAAGGGGAAGGAAGTGATGATCTCGATCTGTGTGTAAACGAAGAAGATGGAGATTTCAAGCTTAAGCCTTGGCTGTATGCCCTTAGCTTTCTAGGTGAGTGTGGAGGTAGATCGTTTACTGTTTTCTTTATGTTCTAGGCTAGTTAGTTCGTTTTTCCATCTGTCAGGCCTAGGTAAGGACTCGAATTTGCCGTACCCGATCAGTTTGATCAATGCCCAGCGGAGCGGTACCCAAAGAATACCTCAGGTTGAGCAAATATTGCATCTATTGGTTGTCAAGTTCCAGTTCAGTTTTATTTGCTTCACCTGGCTCAGTGACTTGATGGTTAGGTGGTAGGCATTGTCAAATCCTGTACACCAAATGGGCTTGGTGATTTTTTCATAACACTGAAGGTAACTAGATTATGCTTAAATGACGACTCTTATTAAAATTTGAATGGCTATGGAATGTGTTAAATGAGTAACTTCCCTTTAGGATCGAACAGGCACAATTGGCGCAGCTATCCACCGCAAGGTCCTGTCTGAAGGAAATATTTGTAGGGAAATTTCGGTTGGATGTGTTTTCATTCTGAAGCAGACAGTTGTGTCAAATTGATTTCTATTTGATCTAGTATGACTCATTTTTCAGTTTCTTTTTATCGCCGTGTGTTTTTGTGTTGTTGAACTCACTTTCTTTTAGGTGACATGGGCTTTTTGAGTGATCAGAAAATTGCATTGTTGTGGCTTTCAGGTGTGCACTCTGCCCAGCTCGCTCCTCTGTTATCTCAATTATTACACTGAAAGATGTGGTAAAGGTAATTGGCTTGATTATTGTAGATAAATTTTTTGTTTGTTCAAGTAATGTATCAAGTTATTAGGATTTCTTATATGATATTTTTAGTATTCAATATGCTTGTTTGTAAAAAAAATATTAACCTAGCCCTTCTGTCCCACTACATGGGGTCGAGATATATGATTTTTTTTCGTCATTGTGTCATGTTAAAAGTCAAATTCTCGAGTTACTATAGTCTAATAAAGAAAGATACGATTTCTAAATATTTTATTAATCAAGTCTTTAGGTCTACCTCTACTTTCATTTTTTTGTATTTTTTTATTTTTTTTTACATAAAGATTAATTAATCTAATCCTCAATAACTTCTTCTACGCGGATGTCATCAGAAGGTTTTTACTTCCGTTTAAATGTGACTAACCATCTTAAGGCGATACAATTACTCTGCCATATCTTTCTTATTTGATTAATATTTTTTTGCTGTTCAAGGTATTGTTGCACAGCTAACTCCCAATCCTTTTGACTGTATATGCTCGATTTCGTATATTCCGATATCATCTAAGGGAATGCACTTCATCACCTAAGCATTGCTATCTTTTCCAATCACTTATAGTTTATGGCTTGATCTCTTTAATGCAACATTCGGCATCATAAAATCATTGCAGGTCTCACCAGCCATCTTATTATAGAATTTTTCCCATTTACTACATTTGCGAGGGACAATTTTCCGTAGTCGCACAGACAAGCCCATGCAATATCATACCCTTCAACCACCAACTTTGAATTCTGATGATATTATCCCTATCTATTTCACTCATCTGTGCTTTGAACAATGAGATCCAGATATCTAAAACTTGTCTCTATTGAATGACTTGATTTGCCCAAAGTCCAAATCACAATCCCACCACTAGCCTACTTTTGACCTACTAAATTACACTCCCATTATATTCAGGTTAGATCTACTCTGCGAAAACCTTTAGACATCTAGGTTTGACCGTCACTAATTACAAGTTTACTTTTCAACTCCGACCTCTTCTAATCTTAACAACAAGATTAGAATAATATCAGCAAAGAAGCAATACACCAAGAAACTCCTCTTGCAAATGTCTGTGGAACATCCATGACTAAAACAAAAAATATGAGCTTACGTCGG